TGGGTGTCTGTGAAGTTTGGGTGAGGTATTTTTTAAAAAGTTCCTGGCACATGTTCTTATTCCATACATTTTTATTAAACTTGCAGAAAACATGGATTTCTCATCATTGCTAGAGTGTTGGCCTTTTTTTCTTATTCCTTCCCTTTCCACTTTGAAGATGAGTTTTGTTATTGTTGTTGTTGTTGTTGTTGTGTTATTGTTTGAGTTTAAGTAATAATACAGGGAAGAGTAGGTGATCTTTATAAAAAGAAATTATTAGTTTTAAAATTAGGACACTATATAGGAAATCTAAGATGCCCTTTCATAGTAAAAACCTGTTCTCTATGAAATTTCATGATGTGAGATTCTGGGATATAATCAGATTAAAAATCAGGAGAGTGAAACTAACACCCAGAGTGAATGTTCTTGTCTGAAATAAAGCTATTTGCTTTACTATGTAAAGCACTTTGACTTCTATAAAAATTCAAATACAATAGCTAGATTTTTAAATCCATTTTATCTATTCTCCATCTATGTTGTTTTTGTTGAGCCCCAGTGTCATGTGAACTCTCCAAACACAAAATTTGTAAGTTACCAGTTATTACATACAATGATGCCTATTAATTGTAGTCATGATCAGTAAGTAATAAGCAAGGTAATAAAAAGATGTATACACCTCTCAGAACTTTTTCCATTTGATCTTTGTGACTGTTATCATGATAACAATCACAGCCATCAGCATTCTCGTGTAACGCCAAATAATCACAGAATGATACGCACTTTGGACATTTACATGTTTATAACTTTTTTAATTTAAAAGACTCAGTATAAGAATAATAAAAAGCCTTCAATGAATTGCAATGGGACTATCAAATCTCACTGGAAACTAGAATGAGACTCCATGATAATAAAGACAGAATGGTGGAAAGGAACTTCAGGGTTAGAAGTATTATGAGCAGGACCTAGTCATACCGCAGTGTCAGGTTTCCAGGTCTCCTCTCCCAGCCAGGAAAGGACCCGGGGCTGCAGAGGCAGTGCTGAGGCCCAGCCACTAGACCACCACAGGTGGGTGTCTCAGGAAACCACAGCAGGAACTTCGTCTCCCAGCCAGGAAAGGACCCGGGGCTGCAGAGGCAGTGCTGAGGCCCAGCCACTAGACCACCACAGGTGGGTGTCTCAGGAAACCACAGCAGGAACTTCGCTGAGGCTCAGGTGAACAAGTGAGAAGAGGCAAATTTGTTTAGAGAAGAAAAAGTTTATTACAGAGTCAAGGAGCAGAAATAAAGTGGGGCTCCAGGCTAGTGGAACCAGGCTGGAACTCATCCTGGGGTGTTTGATTTGTCCCTTTTGGAATTTGTTGCCCTTAGTCCGTAGTGGCTTTTCCTATTTTATTCTGCCCCTAAGGGCTCTCTGCTTGCCCTTTGACTCACTACCACACAGTAAAATCCTTAGTAATGAGGTATGGTACAGAAATACCTAGTTGTTTATATTAATACTGGTGATGTTACTGTTTCAACATTTTCACAAAGACAAACAAAAAATTTTTGATTTATATTCTGATTGTTACTTAGGGAATAGCAGACAAAGGCAAAAAACAAACCTTCCAGGGTTGAAGAATTCTTAGAGGATTCAGAATAGCAATGGTGAGAATATTTAAGAATTTCTTGTCGGTCCCTTAGTCTTGCAGGTCGTTCTTTACAACCGGTCCCTAAAAGGAGGCGGGTCTTCCCTAAATTTTTCTTGCAGCTGTTTCCTCTTTGCTTTGACTCACTCCACTGGGGGCTGCCTGAGGTAGGTGACAGCTGTCTGCCCTGGGGCTGCACACCCTCCTTAGTCCCTGAGGCAGATCAGATAATCTAACTCAAGCTTCCAGATCTGCAACTCCATTGGGGCTTGTTTAACTGCAAGTGCAAAGTTGGGGACATTAGTCCAGATGTGGTAGCACTGGGGTTTTCTGCTGGGCTGGCAGTTTAGGGGTGTAAGGTGGTGGGCTGGAAGGGAATTTAGTCATTTCCTGATAATCTAACTAACTTTATTTTTGGCTCTCCCTCTCTGTCTCCCCTTCTTTCATATAAACTGTTCATGTTTTCTCTACTTTATGATGTGGAAATTAACCCCTACCCCAGTCCCCACTGATTGTAACCTCTAAAACCATCTATGTATGAATTCAAGGAATGACTCTGATCCCTTCTGTTAACACTAACACTGATACCTAGGACTGAAATTTAAAGATTAAATCTCTCCCTTTTCTCTCCAGTCCTCACTCCATGCCCAGATGTCTTTCTTGGCTGATCTGTCTTCTCTACCTCTGCCTTGCAGGGTGTGTCCTGCCACACACCGTCAAAACTCTTGCTTCCCCTCAGGAGAACCCATCTAACTGCAGACCCAGTGATGTGAAGTCTTCCATTTACCCAGCTACCTCAGATGGAAGGCTTTGAACTTGTCAACTGCTCTAGCCAGTTTTTAACTACCTGTTGTATTTGTAAGGTGCCGCCCAGGGCAAAGAACTCCCTCCACCTGACCCAGCCTCCTTTGTACTGGGAAAGGTAGGGAACTGAGTACAGGACAGCAGATTGCCCTCAAGGAGGGATTTGTTTTGTGGTTAAAATCAGGAAACAAGGCTGTTTTGTTTTGTTTTCAGGAAGACACCCTTCAGCTTCTGTCTCTTAGTCTGAAAACCACCCTTAGTGAGTACTGCCTCATGTTGGGTTTGGATGGCCTGACAGTTTCTGACAACTGCTTCAGCTGTATGTGTCTTTTGCTTGCTGCTTTGAGCTTCCTGCTGATAGCAGAAATTCTTCCCTCCCACAGCCCCAGCCCATTCAGCCAGGGAACTCAACCCGGTCAAGTGTGTGCATAGAAACCCATTTCTTGAGCATCCTCCCCTCAGCTGCCACTGCTCATCTGTTCTCTCAAGTTGTGGCCCATTTTGCCACATTTACTTAATCACTAATTCTCAAATTAAAAACTGACCCAGAAGGGAAATTGATTTACTGGAAGTAATGTGTGTGGCTGGGGCATTGTGTCTGGGAAACACTGTTGTCATCAGATGGGTGAGCTGCTTGAGCATTGCTTGGGGTGTGGTGTTGCATTGGTAATTGTGACAATGAAACAAAGTAGGTTGTGGATGGCCTCCCAAATACTTGATGTGAGATGATAGGATGAACCAGATGTCACAGTTGGTGTAACAAAGAACCATAGGCAAATAACAGTAAGAAAGCCAGAGGACATTTCTTTGAAGACACAGGCCAAGTCTAATGTAAAGCCACAAAGGTTTAAGAAACAGGCCAATTCCTGCCTGAGGTGTATACAAACCACAGAATAGCACAGCTCTGCCCTGGAGCAGTCCTGAAGGGTAGCTGCTGGTGAAAACAACTTGGGGGCTTTTTAATAGTTCAGTTCTTGGGCTGGTTTCCAGGGGGTGAGCTGTGGTAATCAGGTGATCCTACATTTTCTTGATTGGTCAGCCTTGGCCAAAGTCCTAACATAATCATGGGCTTCTTCTTTCTTACTGCCTTTTCTCTCTTGTTATGTCTGCTGGGGGTCCATGTTTCCCAGAGTCCCTATCCTTTGTCAAAGTGTAACTCCTCCAAGATAGTGTGATGTGTTAAATGGTGACTGGGATGAGCGTAGAGACCCTAAAATGATCCTTGACAGCTTCTGCCCCTATGTCAAGAGAAACATATTAGTTTTACTTTCCTTCAGCTTTCTTTTGTATCAGGCCATTCCATTTTAACTCCTTAATGCCTATTTACAGTGACAGTGCTGCTGGAGATGGCAGCTTCGGTAGGTCACCCTTTGACAGAAGACAGAGGGGGAATATTCACTAATGATTCAGTTCAGAATAGTCAAAGGGCAACTTCCAGTGGTATGAGGGCCAAAGAGCATGACTGAATCCACTGCTGATTGGATGAAAGAACCATAATGTCAGTAGTAATAGTCCAGATGTAGACATGTTATGTTGTTGTACCTATATCACAAGAAATTGTTGTCTAATATTATAGTACAAGATAGACGCTGTATTTGGTATGGCTTGATTTAAAAAAGAATATATTGTATGTTATATTAGAATATCTTTGGCTAGTGGAAATAAGGAGTAATTTCAATGTGAGTCCCACAAGGAAGTTACGTAAGATGCAGGGGTCCATCTAGACGTGAAGCTGATAGTGACATTGTTATAGCTCTTTGGCCCTTACAAAAGAACTAAATGACACTCAGAAAACTGAGAAGATCAGGAGATTTTATTAACACCGGGGACTCAGGAGAGTAACTGCCAAGTCCCTGGGCCCCAAGTGTAAGGGGGAACAACTTTTTGATAACCTTTTTACACTTGTTCGTATGTGACAGTCAAAGCAGAGTTAGTGGTGGGCTTAAGCAGGGAGTGAGGGAGTCAGCTGAGTAAAGGGCTCAGGGAATAGGAAGTCAGATAAAGGTCACTTAAGCACAAAGGCTAGGCAGGGTCCTTAAGGGAAAGTCCCTTCAGGGGGCATAGTCATATTGAATTTTTCCGGACTTCTCTGTCAATGTGAAGGTCACTGAATAGCGTGACCCGAAGTGATAGCAGAGGTCTATGTAACAACGGTAATGACAATAACAGAATGATACTGAGGTCTATCTTAATTGATTAGATGTTTCCTCTAGGCCAGATACTGTCCTAGGGACAGTATGTATTAATTCATATATGCATATATGACTTACAGGTATTATAATCTTCATCTTAGAAAGAGAATGCTGAGGTTCTGAGGAGTTACGTTAACTTCACCTGTGTAAGACTGAAGGAGGGGTATGTTAAATGCATTGGAAAAAGTGGAGACTGTATCTGAACCATTTTTGAGGCATTCAGAGATTTTCTGTTGAGAGGTAGTTGGCATCTTTATCTCCTTTCTGGCTTTTCTCCAGCATTAACACTGAGTCACTCTTGTGCTAGAGAGAAGCCCGTAAAGTGCTGGTATTTGAACTGGTAACCCCCAACATGTCACTCTGTTCACAATGTATCTTTTCCATAGGAATCCTGTGTCACCATGGTGGGGTCCTGTGGCCTACTAACCCGCCAGGAGGAGCCAGGTAAGCCTGCTTTCTGCTTCCCACTCACCACTGTACCATTGGTGCCTCACAATGGCTGGCTTGCAGGAAGCAATCTATTCAACTTTTCTTTTTTGAACTTTTGGACTCTTTCCCTAGTGCCACTAAAGAGCATCTCTGTGACCTTGTCCATTTGTGAGTTTGTGGTCGGTGTGTCTGCAACCTTAAACTACGAGAATGTGGAGAAAGTTCCTGTGGAGGCCTTCTTTGTGTTTCCCATGGATGAAGACTCCGCTGTCTACACCTTTGAGGCCGTGGTGGATGGGAAGAGAATTATGGCAGAATTACAGGACAGGGTGACGGTACTACAGATGAGCTTGTCATCCCCTTCCTCCTTATGTCTTCAGTGAATGAATATTTTCTAGCAAATGCAGTTTCACCAAAAATGCTGATATTGAATGTTCTTTCCTCTGCTCCTCTTCAGTGCTATTTTCCTAAAGTCATTTTAGAGAGAAAATGCAGTCAGAGCCACTCAGTCTAACTAGGAGCGTGACAAGATCACTGTTAGCTCCCCTCCATCTGTCTTTGTGTTTATCACTTGTTGCTTCATCATCAACTAGGTCACCTCCGATGCCTCTTTTCTTTCCCTGTTCTCTGTAGGCCAGTGCCAAGTATGACATTGCCATCAGCCATGGCTACCAAGCCTTCCTCTTGGAAGAGGACATGTTCTCCAGGGATGTCTTCTGTTGCAATGTGGGGAACCTCAGCCCTGGGTCTAAGATTTCACTCACACTGAGGTACGTGCAGGAGCTGTCCCTGGAAGCGGATGGGGCCCTGCACTATGTACTCCCAGCTATCCTGAATCCTCGATACCAGAACTCTAGTGAGTATTCTCTCCTGTAGAAAATTGGTGGAGAAATCCCCTCGAGGTTGGAGGGCTGCAGGACAACATTAAAGAGGGAAACAGAAGTGGGTTTTTTTTTTTTTTTTTTTTTTTTTGTAGGATCATCTGAGGCCAGTTGCCTGAACATGAAGACTCCCATAGTGCCGTTAGAAGACCTGCCCTACACACTCAGCATGGCTGCGTCCATCCATTCCCAGCACGGCATTGACAAGATCAAGTGCAGCTGCTCCTTGAGTACCATCGAGTACCCTGAAGCTGATAAGACTTCAGCCCAGGTAATTCATGGGCACACACTTTGGTTACCCAGACCCCTGTTCTTTGGGTTCTGACCTTGGTCCTCACTCAGTCATCCATAACATTCCTTACTTTTTTCTCTATTGACTCAGAGGAAGGGATCATACTCTGTTCTCTTGTCCCCTTGACCAGCACCTTCTCTCCATCCATGGCCCTACTCCTAACCATTCTGACTTACAGAAAAACCCGGTAGCCCTCAGCTCTGATCATAATCCAGGCAGCAAGCCATGAAAGTCCCAGTATGGTTCTTTGCCCATTTCCAACTCAGGTTTCTCTGGCTGCTGGACACAAATTTGATCAAGATGTGGAGCTCCTGATTTACTACAGGGAGGTGCACACCCCCAGTGTAGCTGTGGAGATGGGGAAGCCTAATTCAAAGTCAGGTAGGGTAACTCCTTAACACATCCTCCGCCTCACTTTCCCTCTCTCCAGAAGTAGATAAGAGATGGTGGGCAGCATCTTACTGTGGCATGGATAAACCATTCATTTTGCTGACTCATGGTTATGTCTTATGGACATTTTTAACAGCATCAGTAGATAAAATTAGGTGAAGGACTGAACAAATCTCAAGAGGGAACACAACTACCTACAAATATTTGACTTTTTTACCTTTCAAATTATTGAAGATTTCCAGATTTAGCAATGCCACATGCTTTAAAGGGAATGGTAAATTTGAAACTCTCATCAGGAACATAAAGAAAATAATCTGGTTTTGTACTTTTGAACAGAAATTTGGTGTTAAGTGTCAAAATCAATATACATTTTGGTAATTCCAGTTTTGGGGCTCTCACCTAAGAAAAGGAACCTAAATACAAGTAAACATATTCATTAAAATGCCCTCTGGTGTTTTGATAATACTAAAACTAGTAAACAAAATACCTACTGTGGCTAAATTTAGCTGTGTTTGATTAGTTACTATGAAAAAACACTCCCAAAGAATGAGGCAAGAAAAAGTATGTTACACAGATTTGCACAGGAAAATCTCTTCTGCACTGAGGAAAAAAAAAAAAAACACATTTAAAAATAAGAGGTATGTGGCCCTCCCTGGTGGCGCAGCGGGTTAAAGCACAGCACTGAGAATCTAAAACCATTTCCGCATGAGTTCGATTCCCGCCTGCCCCGGAGGTGACCACATGGCGTGGCAGACCTCTCCTGACCCGCCCGCTGCTCCCCTCAGCAGTGTATTTCCTCGATCTGCCTGTTCTGCTCCCCATTCTGTCTCTGGTGAAGCCTCTCGCCGCCCCTGAGCCTCTGGCCTGTATCCCAGTTCTGTATGCACAACTAAATAAATCTTTAAAAAAAAAAAAAAAAGAGGTATGCAACTAGTAATTGTTACTTGGTTAACATTGTTTTACTTAACAAAATATTTTTTACATAACAGAGCCAATTATTGTAACTGTTTAAGGATTTGATTCTGTTGCCTTGAATGCATTCAATCACCTCACTGGATAACCCTCACTAATATCCATTCTGGAACTTTTTCATCTTGCCCTAGATCCTGCATTTCTTACACAACCTGTAGTTTTTACCTATGTATTTTTCCATTGTTTTACTTTCCAAATTTTCCTTAATATGTAAACACTTTCCTTGCAAGGATACATGATATCCATGTCGTTCTTGGGCACTTCCTGGTAGTGGGATACAAGGACTGTGAAGTCTGACTTGACTTCAGTGTCCTTCTCCTTTCTGATTAGATTCTTTGATGGGGGCTCCATCTGCAATGGTGAGTTTTTACCCAGATATCCCAGAAGCTCAACCGCCAATTGCCTGTGGAGAATTTGTCTTCCTCATCGACCGCTCAGGAAGTATGGCGTGCCCCACAAGCAAACAGGATATGTCTCAACTGCGCATCGAGGCAGCCAAGGTACAAGTACAAGGATGAATTGCAGGGCTTAAACTGGATTCCATTAGAAGCTGTGGGTCTGTTCCCCATTGGAGATACAGCTAACACTATCACTTTGAATGAAGTCACCCTTGGAATATAAGGACATGAAGGTTCTCACTGTCAGGAGTTAGATACCTGGGAGCACCTTCTCTCACTGTTCCTTTATACTGTCTTCCTTCAGGAAACACTGATTTTGCTGCTGAAGAGTTTGCCCATGGGATGTTACTTCAATGTCTATGGATTTGGATCTTCCTATGAGTCATTCTTTAAGTAAGTTTCTACAGAGTCCAAAAAGAGATTTAAAAGAAAACATTCAGTTGTTAAAGAGCTGACTTTGGGAATTGCAGGTGAGGTTGTTTATATAGTATTTCAATGTAGGGACTCAGTACTGGATGGCACTGAGAAAAAGGAAGTGTTCTTTTTCTCAGGGATAGTGTGGAGTACACTCAGGAAACGGTGGAGGAGGCAGTGAAGAAGGTCAAGGTTATGCAAGCCGACATGGGTAGCACTGAAATCTTGCTGCCACTGCAGTCCATTTACAGTAGACCTTCCATTCCGGACCACCCCTTACAGGTAAACACTCACAGAAGTAACTTAAAGATTTTATTTTCCCTGTCTCCCTTAAGAATGTGATCTGTCTTTATGAGGGAGGGAGGGAAGAAAGGGCCTCCCTGGTGGCTGAAGGGGTTAATTTAAGCCTCAGCATTATGAAGTTTTTGGAAGCTATTGCAGCATGAGTTCAACCCCCAGCCAGGAAGCTGATCCAAGTGGAAGAGGGGGAAGGGAGGCAGGTCCAAACAAATTTTATACTTATCTTCTTCCTGCAGCTTTTTGTCTTCACAGATGGAGAGGTTTGTGACACTTTTAGTGTCATTGCTGAAGTCAGGAGCAACTGTCTGAGGCACAGGTATGTTCGTTCGTTTGTTGTTTCCATATATCTTGGTTCCTTTCTCCACCAATATGTTCAGATCCTATTTTTCATGCAAACAGTAAATTGTCAAAAGTGTAAAATATTCCATGAAACTATTACCCCATACTTTGATTGATTCTTCTGCTGCTGGGACTTTGGTTCAGCACTTAAAATGAATGTACATTACTGTATTGTTGTAATGACATATGCATATTTATACATAGTCATACCTCCCCAGTAGAGATATCTCCTGAAGAATACATTGTTTGGCAGTAACTCATGTGACTATCACCGAGTATAATTATATCAGCTTACTTGGTAGCCCACTGGGACCACCACTGACTGACTGATCAAAATGTAATTAAGTGGTCCATAACTGGACAGATAATTAGAGAGACAGAGATATCCATTAACTTCCCAATATTTATTAGTTGGCATCCTGCTGTAACCTCCCCCCCCCACACACACACACACTTCTTACCCTCCTTTGCTTGCTTTTGTTATATCTTTTATTCTTTGACCATTCCTCCAATTTGTTAAAACATATTACTCTCATTGTTCATTTAGATTTTCAAAGTTGTAGATTAGGCCTATGGGAGCACCTTTTTAACTTGCTCCTGTCTCTTTCACATGTCTTTTTGGTTTATGCATATTTCCATTCTTTTTTACAAAAAGCATTTCAGACTCACCTGCACTTTCTCAGCCCTGTAACCTGCCTTTTTCATGAGAAGCCTTGTTCCTGTAAGGGAAAATAAGAGGTCAATATTTTTATGTTTGTTTTAACTCCTCGATGCTACTGGAATGTTATTAGTTCTGAGCATTTTCAGCAGACAAAAATAGCAAATGTTTAAAAAATTTATTTTAACACTACCCATCCTTCCAACATGTGTTCTTTTTCTCCTGTTTGTGTCTTCTTTCTACCATGGTAATAAGTCTAGTATTCTATGAAATCAGCAAATTTTCTTGTTTCTTTAACCCAGCAATACACACATGGTTTCTGTGTATATGTTTTCATGCATCTTTTTAGATTTTTGCTTAGTGGTTTCATGACATTTTTAAAAACCTTATTATAACCAATTTCTATATAGAAGTATATTTTTAAATTTACATTGAGCTTAAATTCAACAAAACTAGATCTCAATTCTAACTGTAGTTGTAGCTCTACTTACATTTTTTATAATCATTTGTAAATGTCATTTTTATTTTTTCTTTCCATATTCCTTCCAAGAAAAGGACCTTATCCTTATTTTGAATTTCACATTTTGTATTCAACTATGCACACTGATAGTTTGCTATAGCATTTTTTAAATAGCTGTCCTTTATTAAATAAATTCCTTTTATTTCTGTTTTGAAATTCTTTTTAAAAATTAGTCACTGTTAAATTTCATCAAACACATTTATGCATCTGATGAGTGCATGCTTTTTTTCTTGTAATGTGTGGATTATAATTAATGTTAAATTTTAGACAAACTTGCATTTCAGATAAACCCAAGTTAGTTATAGTGGATTAACCTTTTTCTTATACCTTTTGATTCAATTGGCTAATTAATGTTTAGGGCTATTGAATCTGGTTTTTTTTTTTCTTACAATATATTCCTGTCAGGTTTTGATGCCAATGTAAGGCTGATGTCCTAAAATGAACTAAGAGGAATTGCCAATATTTCTAGTTTCTGGAAGATTTGTTACTTAAAGTTGCCAAGAGACATTTTGGGGGGAGG